TGAAGAGCTTTCCAGCCTTCAATGGGGCGCCGAATCCGTCGACGACGACGCTGCCTGCTCGGTCGTTTCGATTAAAGGAAGCATGCTATCTTTTTTTACCTTTCACTTATGGTGACATCAGACGCATACGATTTGATAAGTAATACCAGTTATTCTCAAAATACTTCTAACGAGCTGAGAATTTCTGTTTGAAACAGCCAACGCTGTGGGAGAAATAACATTTTGACTCCCTACAAAGCGTTGATATAATTTGCAGTCAGAAATAATTAAATTTCATATGCTTATGATGTCTTGGTGGCGCTGTAGTGCTGTTACTAGACGCAGCGCAGCGTGGCGCTAGACGCTACGCAGTGCTGTTTCTAAACGTAATTAGTCCTGCGGTTCTCCAGAGTATGTTTTTGGAAGATGCTTGCAAGGTGGGACGCTTCATTTTTTATCTTGATCACAATGATGCGTATTTTCCACGGAGGAGAGCCGCGTTGGCGACCCGATGCCCCCCCAGGCTCCAGTCGCTCCCGCTCACCGCACCGATGGGGCGGTAGGGGGCGGGAGAGGGGTCGGGACAGCGGGCTGGGCAGGGGGGGGGGGGGGGTGTCTCGCGTGGGAGCCGCCGAACATCTGATGTGGTGTCATTTGACCACCGAATCTTGATGTTCGGCGACTCCCATGTGAGGAGTCAAAATTTTAATCGTGGGAGACATTTGTGGACGCGGTGAGGGGCACTCTCGATTGGGCTAAAAGCCTTTAAAGGTTTGGGCAGCGTGAGGGGGGCCGCACCGGCATGCTGGCCAACGACTGGTTTGAAATGCGGGAGGCGGCGGCAGACCTAAGGGGGTTAAACCCAGGGTTTGCGCTCATTTCAATTGGTGGGAACGCCCTGGTGCAAAAAGAGGACGCCGCCTCCCGCCGTCGTCGTCAGCAGACCGGTGCGGCCTCGCCACCTGTAGCTGCGCTGCCAAATGTCGCTGAGAAAACGGCGCATTTGGCCGCGCAGCTGCAGGCCTTTGTTGTTTTCATCCTCGGACTGCTCCCGAATGTGGTCCCCATTGTTCTGGGGCCCTTTCCGCCGCAGTCCGGGGATGAATCCGCCATTGACGCTTTCCGCGGCCTTGCGGAGGCCTTCCGCGAGGCCGCGAAGAGCAGCGGTGCATTGTATGTAGATACGGAGCTCGCGCTCAGGCGCGGCCTTAACGTGCCCCACGATGCGGACCCTGCGGGGTTTGTAATCCCCGTGGGGTGGGTAGCCGGCAACGTGGTCGGCAAGCCACCCCCGTGGATGGCACTGCCCCGAGGCTCCCTGCGGAGGTGTACGGGGACGACGGGCTGCACCTAGCCCAGTCGGCTTACGTGCACCTCGGCAGGGAGCTGACCCGTGTTGTTGAGGCGAGCGTCAAGTGGGCTGTGAAGTAGGAGCTAGTGTATATTTTAGAGTGCGTGAGTGTGTGAATGTCCGAGTTAGGCGTGATAGTGATGTGTGAGTAGCTGAGTGGGTGTACCGACGGATGTGTTAGATGTTTTGTGGTTGTTTGATCGATATGTGTCGAGTGATTGAGTGCGCGGGATGTTTAAGCCAAGGGGAAAAACACAGAATGACGTTTTTAAAATGCATTTGGTTTTCGTATTTGGAAGCGCCGTTTCACCGTGGTAAGAGGTGGAGGAAGATTTGTTAAGTTCGACAGCAGTGTAGTGGCCAGTATGTCGTGTTCAGGAGCAGCAGCTGGCGCCTGCACTTGCCGCTTTGCCACCGTGTATGAATCCTCGGGACATCCTATTCCCGAAGACTCCCGTACTCTCGACGTGCGTCACTGTGGCGGCACTCGCTGCCGGAGTTGCTGGAGCCGACGCACCTGTGCCATGCTGGCCACCTCAGCGCGAGAAACACGTGATTCCTGCCGTCAATGCTACCGGTTGCTGTACTCGATGGCTTTGTTCCGGGGAGCAGCGCGCCGGACCGGTGCGTTGATATGTCGGTGCCGATACGTCGGGCGAACTAACTGCGTGGTGTGAACATGACAGAGCTTGCCCGCTCCGTCGTTTTTTTGTAATGTCATGATACGAGCCATCGCGATGCTAAAATTCATCTGAATGTAAGCGATCTTTTGCTGGAGGTCTTAGCGAATTACCATCATCTGGCGATGGCGTCATCTTTTGCTGACTTCCATACAAGTAAATCAGTGGCTATGTACATTTACCACTTGTCCGCTTGTAAGTGAAGTTGATAATACGTTAATGCTCAATGGGCAGCACCGCGATGAAATAAAAAAACTTGTGAAGACAATGTGAAGTTATCAAGTAACTGTCAAAATGAGTGGATGTGTTGCTGGCCTCTTCACCTTTCACTTCATATCCAATTGTATACGTAGTTACGCTCCATACGATCTGTGTGCTCCAAATGGTACATCTCAACTGGAGCAAAGGCCAATGCAGATTCACCGGCACGTGCCACATTTTGGTAAGGTTATACATTTTGCAACCCTAAAACGTCGGCTATATGTAAATGAAATGGGGTGCCATGTTCACTTGGCCCTCTCTCGCCCCAAGTTAGAACATCGCGCGCAGTGCACCTGTTGTCAGGGGCGCAACTTCGCAACACCATTTGAGGATGGGACAGATAAATACCAAAACTGTCCGGAGATGCACGAAATCAGATTGTTCCCTTAGGATTTGCCCAGTTTTCCCCGCGAAGATGGGCACGCGAAGGGATTACTTTCCATACAGGCCTAAACCCCCTTGGGGTTGGGGATGAAGGGTAGGAACTAAGGCCCACTCCTGCCTGATGCGGTACCATGGATAACTGTGCCACTATGGTAAGGATGATGTTTTGCTGATGACTGTAGTGATGCAAAACTTTTTCATCGGCGTAGGTAGACCTTCGGCTGGCTTGCAAGCTTAGCTTGCCTGTATTTCGTGTCAAACTGCCGATCACGTGCATGAGCACTGACCTGAATTTAAGACACAGTTCCGCATACTCAAGCCGTCCCCTATGCAATGAATCTCAACAGTCTCATAGCTTGAAAAGAACAAGATAGATTACTTGTGCATGGAGCACGGTGGTGGTCAAAAACCATACCCTGTGAAAATATTATCATTTTTATTTAGATGCAAGATTGGGGACGTAACCCATCGAGGAATACTTGTGTAGTGCCAATTCGAAAAGCCACAGGAAAATTAGCCAGCTGGCGCTGGATAACCAACCGTGTCTAGAAGAACTCTGTAAATCTTGCCCAGGCGCGGCGTGATTTGACAATGAGCAATGCGATATCTAGGAATGTTCTGATCAAAGCCGTATTTTGAGGCTGGAAATCCCGAACCCAATATAACAGTAAATTCATTGCAACCAACTGCATTACCCGCAGAATTCATGCCGCTGTTATACATCAGCCCTGCAGTTTTAGATTTTTCCCTAGTTTGACGGATATTCCAGTCAACAATATGAAATCCTAGACTGTTTGCATTACGGTAATGTGTGAAAGATCAAAATCCCATCTACAGTTGTATATGCAGAGCAGTCCAGACATTCGAAATGTGTGAAGACGTACGTCTTTAATGAAACTGCGAGGATGTAGTGATATTGATCGGCGGTTTCTGTTGTATTGTACAATTTATCGTACCACGCACAGCTTCGCAGAGCTTCTCGTACCGGCCGTATGGCAGCGCTAGTAAAGCCAATGTCCGCGCCCGGCGCGTAACCCAGCTCATGCGACGATACTTGTGACACTTTTTCTTGTACCAATCAGTGCTAGCCTGTACTTACGTGGTATTTTTGAATTATATCGAGCTGACCTGCATCTTACTCAAGTACTTTGATGGCGTACTTGAGCGCAAGATAATATGTAGTGAGTAACGGATGCGGGCACAAATAACCCTACTCGGCATTCAACGCTACTTGCCTTCTTGTAGTCAGCGACCCGCTCCGGGACCCCGTTCGACAGCAATGTATCGGCGTTACACAGCCGCCAGGGGTAATAAACCCCGCTCACGCCGTCACAGCTGTGTCGCAACGTCAGGCGCGCAACGAGAGTCTGCGCGAATGTTGGCCCACGATACTTTGACTGTCCCTGCCGTGCTATGCAATGTGTCGTGCGATGCATCGCGAATGAGTTCTTTGGTCATTGAATCTAACGTTTGAAAAGCTGCCGTAGGGGAGCTCACGAAGCGAAGTGGAGCCAATTATTCATGAACTGCCCAAATAATATTTTCGAAACCAAAGCTGTGTGACCTTCCAGACCACCGCTTGACCTCGATTTAAAAGATCTCGTGCAATTCCGCTCAAGACCAGCTGGTGTCCGTCAAGCGCTCAGGACCAGCTGGTGTCCCTCAAGCACTCAAGACAAGTTGGTGTCCGTCAAGCGGGCACCACGCTTCCCATAAAGGTGGCGCCAGGGTCGTGAGACGGCACACTGAAGCTGTGGAATCGCCCTACGAGTCGCGAAAAGCGTCATTTCCATACGGCAAGTACCGTCTTCCGGTAAGGGATTTCGGCGTGCTGCTAACTTTGCCGTCTGCCCCCCCCCCCCCCCCTCCTACAGTTTCGGAAGCGGGGTGGGCTAATGTTTGAGAAGTTGGATTTGGCTTCACTGGGGTATTTCAGCCATTTATATCCAGGTCGCAGCCCCAGCTCCCCGCCCCTTTACAACTTTGCTAAACTGCAGCCGTGATTGCGAGTTTGGTTTAATGTACGTGTTATGAAGCGTCCGTCATTTGTTACACGACGCGCGTTCTGTCATTACCTCTTGCGGAACATGAATTGTTCCATCTGATGGCGAGAGCGTTAATGGTTCCATCGCTTGCTCATAAAAGGCTGCACTTGTGCCCACTGTGAACCCCTCCGAAGGGGCACCAAAAGAAAGTTATGAAATCGACCGGCAGAATATGACAGCACCCCAAACACGCCTACGACACAGCACATATTGTTAAATGCGCATGTTAACCCTGATTTCCCTACAGCACACCGCGCAGCACATCATGAGCGTCTAGCTCAAAAGAAACCGTGCACCTACCTCGTCTCTGCTGTAAAGCGATGTCTCACTGCCAGCCAAGCAATTTCCGGTACCTGGGTGTCATAAGGTGACCAGCAGCACAAGTCAAGTCCAGGCCCTGAAAAGAAAGCGGCATCGTTAGCAAGCCGAAGTTAATCTACTATCCTAAGCTAAGCCACGATCCCTGTTCAGCATAAGAAGACCAGCAGCACTCGTTAAGTGTTGAACCTGAATAGGAAGCAGCATCGATACCAAAACACGGCTTATTGATCTGGACACCTTTACAATCCAAAAAACGGGTATGGTCAGCGCACACAGATGCCCTCCTCACATGCCAGTGCTGAAGACAGTGATGCACTGATGCAACGTGCGTGGGCTGATGCACACATCTCAGTGCTGGGCAATTTGGCGACTGTGGACAAACCAAGGCCTGACAAGTCCAGTTGACAAAATCGGTGCATCTTACGATGAAGCTCCGTTTTCGGAACTTTCACTGAAATATTGATAAAAACGCGAACATGTAGGCGGACACCGGTCACAGTGATCTAGGCGCACGGCTGCGCAGTTCTCCGCATCATTTTCACTCGGTTTAGGCTACAGCACAACAGCTTTAGAAAAAGGTGGCATTCGCCACTTGCCGACCCCCTACTGGTGCACATTGGATGGTGTCTGCCGAAAGAGTACCCATATGATGTCGTTGGTTTCGCACCTCCACCTGCTCTGGCTGCCCAGATCTGTCATTTGTTTAAAAGACCTCAAAACGGACCGACCCGTGGTTTTGGCCCGGCTGCAACGCACGCACGGACACAAACATGTGGCAGTACCGTTGTCTGTTCTTCCGCCAAAAAATTGTCGGTTTCGTGTCGCTGCTAATTCAGATCATCAAGATTTCCACGCCATTCCCACCTCTGCCAGACCTCGGACCCGTATGGTGCAGCCTTTTTGGACCGCGGGCATTTTTCCGTGCCCGTTTTATCGAATGGGGCAGGGAGCATTTTGTTCAAATAGCAACGCTGCAGGAACACCATACCTGTTGAAACACTACATCTGCACATGCCTGCAAAGTCAGGTAGAAAAACTTTTTAGTCTAGCACTCCACGCTCCTGAAACTGAGGGAGGCTGTGACTAGAGGCAACACAGATCTTGAAAGGTATATGGCTTAGAACTTGTATATTTTTTGACATGGGGATTCCTCTCAGCCTTTGGCCAGGTAAATTTCAATGTTAATAGCATGCAAAGTAAATTGTGGCTCCTGTGAGTGAGTGTGTGGGGGTGTTTTGAGCTGAGGCCTAACCAATGCATGCATAAAAATTAGGATTGATAGAACAAATTAAAGTTAAATGGAGGGCACAAAGATATCATTATACAGTATATGGCATAACAGCGCAACACAACTGTTCTCCTCAAAGCTGCACAAAAATGTTCAGGAGTAAACATTGAAAGCAACTTGTGCTTCCAACATCTGAAGACATATACAAGCCATGTAATTATTATTATGTAATATCAGCCAGGTGCCAACACTACCATGCATAACTTCACAACACAATACAAAGTTCTAACCTGGCAGAATTCTGGACACTGATACTGCACAACCACTAATGAAGAATGTAGCCATCAGTTCCATTTTCTGGTGTCTGAACTTACTCTACCAGGTAAAAAACACAATGTATTTATAGAGTTGACTGGCGTGCATATAGTGCAGATCTCCCAAACAGCAGTTGAGAGCCTGGATAGCAGTTAATAACCCTGAAATCTCAAACCTTGAAATGCCATGACACTATTTCACATGTTACTGCCCTGTTGGCAAATAAGAACCCAAATGGAAATGCAGAGACTGGCCATAGATGATGCACACAAATGCACTGAACACTTCAGTCCATTCTTAAAAATACCTGAGCAGTTGTGTTACATGTTTGAAGCATTCAGTTTGATGTAGCATTATCATCATCTCAGCATACGGACATGAACCATTCTATAAAAATCATTATCCAGTACTAATAAAGCCAGCAGTTGAAGAGTTTGGAGGATCAAGAAGTAAAGCACTATAGGGTATTTATTGTTGATATGTAATATGGACCACCCCTTCAAACTGAATTGCCTCCTTCCTGAAAAATATAATGTCTCTTCAACACAACCAAAACTGATTCATCTGGGCCCATCTTACATCCAAACAACTTAATTATTGTTTGGTGAACACTTCAAGATCTGCCAGCTTTGTCATCCCTGCAGCTGGATTCATCCATACATTCAAAGTAAAAAGTACTAATTTGAAAGAACCTTGCATTCTGTGGTAGTTGTCACAAATAAAGAGCATAACATTTGGTTCTGGTACCCTGGAAATACTGAAAATCCATGGTCAACACCAAGGGCACAGCCAAAATTATCTAAAGAGAGGGCCCAGAGTTCAGATACACACCTTTCTACCTTCTGCTGGGAACCATCAAGGTGAAAAATGAAAAATAAATATGGCTCTGAGTGGGAAACTGCCACTAGGCCTCCCCCCTGGCTTCAACCCTCATCATCGCTGCAATGGGTGTCAAATCAGTGTCTTATCTTTACAGAACTGGACTTACCTTTACGGGACTACAGACTCATACCACGAGAGCCGAATGTGGCGAAACAGGTGTCATACACCTGATCCACAAAGGCATCCGTTTTAATGGAGTCTTCCGCTTAACAGCGACTGAAAAACGTGACAAAAAAATAGAAAATTACCTCCAACCTCACCAACTGAAGGACTTCCGCGCGCCGCCAGAGCTATCTAAGCCGCCACCCATCAACGAGCCCGCGCTTTTCATATTCTACATCAATCACGTGCCACGAAGAGAAAACAAACATCTGTGGCCTTAAAACGCTGCAATATTATAACCGAAGAATATTTTTCCCGCTTTTATGTGGATAATGCAGTTAAGGTCCAATAATCAATTTGCCGCAGCCCATCATAATGATGTCTCAAGAATACAAAACACACTGCATAAATTTTGCTCGTTAGGTCGAATAAGTATCAAAGGCGTCCGTCTTAACACTTTATACCGGAGGCGACTCATAAAACCCCTATTTTTAGTTCATTTCATATCTTGTTGGGTGCTTAGTGGCTCTTCCGGGGGAGGGCAGAGGGGGCACATGCAGTGGCGCAGGCAGGGGAGACATGAGGCACGCCTTCCCCCCCCCCCTTCCCTCAGGTTTAGAGGGGCCCTCGGGTCCATCGGGACGAACAGCTGAGTGTCCGATTTGAGGACACGAAGAGTCCGAAAGGTCGGCCGGAGGTCGTATTCATGGGACTCGGCCCGCAGGGCCAGGCATTCCAATGCGAGCTGGAGGAGCCTGGGCGTTGATCAGCCCCCCCCCCCTCAGTCGACAAGAGACTTCATGTCGGTCAGACACCGTGTACCAGTGATATACAATGGGCTCCATGTCGGCATGGTTCTGAGGGCCTATTTCCCATGCAGAGACAAAACCGGAGCCAGTGATTTACATCAGTCGGAGCCTAAAATGTCTTTCGGGGCCCTGCAGCGCCTAGGGGCCCCGTGAGAGGGCCTTTAAAGGGCCCTGCGCCTGACAGAGGTTTGGTTTGCGAGGGGCCCCGAGCCGACCAAGTGCATGTTCGATGAGAACCGTAGAGACCCGGGCGACCCACCGGAAGCGACGAGCAATGATCGTCGGTTCCGGTGGGCCGCTTAAGAGGGCTGGAGGGCATAAGGGCCTGAAGGGCCGGCTCTAAGTCAATGAAGGAAGTGCGATTGGTAGGTCGGGACCTGCAATATCAGTCAAAAGTCCTCATGCAACGTTTGAGGACGTCCCTGACAGTGCGGGTATTTAGGTCTGTGAGAGACCACCAACACCGAACAGTTGGCTCCTTGTCAATCTGAGCCCTGGAAACCATTTCTTAAGCAGGAGCAAGGCCGTGTGTCACGATTTGTAATGGTCTGGTTCCCTGAAGCAGTGGCTGCGGCCCCTGTATCAGTCAGGGGCTCACAGTATCTAACACGGGGGCATGTGTCGGCTAGTAGGCCCAGCTGATTTTATTTGCGAAGGTCCGAAAATTACGCATTAGTCATTAGCCATCAGCTGATTACACCACCCAACCGGCTAGCCGTGAATAAGCAAGGATATAGCTTTATATAATATATAGCTAATATAATAAGCTTTCCGAAACGCTTAGTCTGAAAATCGCATGATTTTACATGATCTGTCGAAAATGAATGAGCTTCATGCATGTGCATATCTGGCAGGCCTCTCTTTATAGGGCTAGGGCTATATAGGGCAATACGATGGGTTCCCAAATATGGATATATATATATATATACACATATATATATATATATATATATATATATATATATATACACACACAGACATATATATATATATATATATATATATATATATATATATATATATGCCGACCGCCGACCAGTATGTACCTGCGCGGAGACCGACTCGAACATGGCGCAGCCGACAGGATCAGCGGGAATCGATCCCGCCTTGGTTCCCCTGTCGGACGACATAGACGACCCTGTGGATAGTGTCGTGCCCCGGGGAACGCGACTGATGTAAGGACTCGATGGCAAAAGATGCCAAACCGGAACTATTGGAGCTGACCGGTGACCGCGGAGTGACGTGCCGCATGTGGCGACAGAGATGGGACGACGACGCGATGTTGTCGGACTTGAGCCCAGGCCGCTAGCCCTGCAGCTGGCGATTCTCCGGTCGTGTCTCTCGGACGAGGTCCTGACAATCGCGGCCAACTTCGACATCCATGCTTCCCAGCGATCAGACCTCTCCGTCGTCCTCTTGCTACCTGAACGGCTACGCCTGTGGCCAGGTCAATGAGGTCATTCAGAGGCGCACATTTAATACGTGCACCCAGCGGGAGGGCGAGTCATTTAATGACTTCTCCACCCGCCTCCGTGACCGCAGCCGTGAGTGCGGATTCTGCGATGCCTGCCGTGACAGCCTGATCAGGGACCGTATAGTTGTGGGCCTGCGCGCCCCGGCGACAACCAAACGATTGTGCGCCGTCCCACTCCTGTCATTGCAGCAGGCGATCCAGATCTGCCGCTCCGAGGAGGATGCGACGCGTGACGTCACGAAGATCGTCGGCGGCGAGGCCGACGCCGTGTCGGCGTACCGCGCCCCGGCCGCCCTTCGGACCTTAGGACTCCGCGCGGTGTCAGATTCCAGTCGCGGAGCCCTACCCCTCCCCGCCAAGCGTCGGGTGGGGGCGCCTCCGAACGAGAAATGGACTCCGCGCGCCCGGTCTGCAGAAACTGCGGCACCGGCATGCATGATCTGACTGCTGCATGGCTGCGGATAGGGCGTGCTACAACTGCGGCAGAACGGGTCACATCTCCAGGATGTGCCGCAGCGCGCGCCAGTCACATGCGACATCTGCATCTGCGGTTACGCTCGCGACCGCATCAACGGGATCCGCACCGACTGTCAGCGTGTCCGTGTCAGGTCGTAAGACGGCCAAGATGACGGCGCCTCCGGACACCGGAGCCGACGTGTCAGTCGCTGAGTTAGACTTTGCCGAACTCATTGACGAGATGAACGATAACATTCAGCCGCCGTCGACCCATCCCCGCCCTGTGGACGGGCACGTGACGCGCTCGCGCGGGAGTCTGCCCGTCCGAATCACCCTGAGTGACGTAACGGTGTCTGACACGGTGCATATCATCTCAGGAGTGCCACGACTCCTCCTCTGGTGGCGCACTGCCATCCGTCTTCGTATCGTACCGGCCAATTACCCACGGCAAATAAATGCAGTCAGTCGGTGTCGGTGCCTGAAATTTGCTTTCAGGTCTTGGGGAGGGAGAACAAAAATTGTGTGATCACGGCTTGCAGAGAGAACATAATATATTCCTAGCAAATTTGCATTATGTCCACGGTTGACATTTTGGGACCATTGTGTGGAAGGAGAGACAGCAGATGCCAAGCACAGAAGGAATGACTACGCCTATCCATAACCACAAAAATTGCAAATCAGCTCACAATTCTGAAAGTTTCTAGCTGTCTGAAAGATGATCTTTTATGTAAATTACACTAATGTGATATGCATGAACAGCTATAACACAATGTATACAAAATGCTGCTGAATGTAATACATGTTTTGCTGAATGTAAGGCATAAAATGTCAAATGTAACACATGCTCTGCTGAACGTAATACACAATCTCTGCTGAATGATACATACTCCTTGCTGTTTAACTGAATATGAATACCCAATGACGTCACAAACCTAATCAAGCTGACAATTTCCCGGGATCCCACCTTGGCCAACTTAAATAAGACGTAAGCAATAGCTTTCTTCCTCGGAAAATTATCGAAACAACAGCTATATGATAACTATGATAACTCGGAAACAATAGCACCTCTGCTATTGTTTCGCTAAAGGTATACTGCCAAAGTATCAACACTCTATATCTGCATCGTCGGTTTTCCGATGAGCTAGGTCTTTTCATTCTTATATATGCGAACAATGTTCCTCGCAAACGCATCTCACAACTTACCCGACTTAACCTTTTCCTTACTAACGCAGCAGGGAATTTTGTCCCATGCTCAACTGATTGGTCGACCGGTCAGCCGATTCGTCTACCAACGACCAATCAGCGCCATAGCCTGAAGATGCAGTGTGCTGCGGACATCGTCGCTGGTGCGAGATCGTAACTACTTTAATTTTAAAGGTTTTGATACAATCCATTGCTTTCCGATTACGGTGGATGCATTGTGGTATAATAGCTTAGCCGCCTTATGTGGATAGTTCCATTCCGAAATGAGACGAAAGTCTTACGTCATGCGCTCTTCGGCCATCAAACATATATTGCGTATGCTCACATCCTCATCCGCCGCAGCCACAGAAATTTGAGCTGTGTAGCAAAGCGTGCAAAATTCGAGCACTTCTGTTGCACCGGCATTGCCTCGCCCTACCGCGCGTAGGCGGTGCGGGCAGAATCCCGGTCATCTGTCCATGCGCGTAAAAATGGGCGTCATGGTATGCGCATGTCCATGTATGTCCTATGGGTGTCATGGTAACCAATCATGTTGGGTATTGCGACATAAGAAAGTGACTTCAGCATTGACTTTAGTGCCTCACCTTCGTCTATTCGCTTTCTCCTGTCCACGTTCTACGCTGCGCCACGTCCTGTAGCGGCCAAGCATCGTTGCCGCCCTTTTATATCGCGAGGGCCGTGATGGGTATGGGTAGCGCCACCACACCTCCTTTCGTGGGTTTAAGACAAAAGTACGCACGCATGAAGTATGTAAGCATTGTATGCAAGCAAATATAGGTAAGGTAGAAATGTCATACGGCAGAAGAACATATGCTTTCCATTTCCGATTGCAAATGCTAGGGTTATCTGCGCCAGGGTATTCAACGTCTCAACAGCCTTTGTAAATTTTTGCATAACATCTTGGGGGAAAGCGTCTTTGCCATGCCCCGGGGTACGCGTGCCAGCAGTGCCAGCTGCGATGTCATCAGTACTGTCGTGTGGTACGTTAGCGCTTGGTGTATCAAGCATCGTGGGGCTGAGATCAGTGAAATGACTAGCAATTTCTGTCCATTCTCCTCTCGCAACCGACGAATGAATGCCGTCCCCTGCCTGACGCACGGTTGGCACAGGAGATTGTGAAAGAACATCACCTGCGTTACCAGAACCGGTACATAAGACGTCTACTTCAATGGCAGACGAATCAACCGTTACATACATGGCACTAGGCGCTGTTACTGGGGTATTTTCACCAGCGGCAACTGTGACACTTTCATCAACCCCTTGAAAA